TCTAGAGGGTCAGGAAACAATTATTATTTTTAGTCTAAGGAAAGAATTTCAATGAAAAATACGAAACATCAAAGAATTAATCACAACAGTCTATCTAGAGGCAATTAAATTAGCTGAGAAATAATTCAATGATACAAAAACTTTTTAATCTGAAGATCATTTAACTGAATTTAGCCTCTAGAGAGTAAAGTCTATTTGATGACTTGCTCACAATAATATTCTTGCTTCTTCTCAAAGATTTGCAACTGGCTGTGTGGCAAACGGTGAAGAAATCCAGTGTCTGTGCAAAGAAGGCTATACTGGAGTTCGTTGTGAACGGTAAGTAACTTTTTTCTCAAGACCAAGGTTTCTGAGAAACACCATAAAAGCAGGTATGTTTGCATTGGGTAATATATAGACGTACACATGCATAGGATGCACATACTTAAGGATTATCTGTTTATATGAACAGCTGCTGTAGTGTAGTGCTATAGTGTAATTCTAGATGTAAAGCCAACTTTCCCCAAAGAAACATACAACATTCCAACAGCAACCAGATAACATTCAATGTCATACCTTGAAAGTGTTCTAACCCAGATTGGATGGGGCTTTGAGCAATCTGCTCTAGTGGAAGGTGTCTCTGCCCAAGTCAGAAGAGTTGGAACTAGATGATCTTTAAGGTCCTTTCCAACCCATGATTCTATGATTCTATGACACCCTTCATCCCAACTGATTCTGATGTGCTCCACATGTGGAGTGTACAAACACAACGCTGGAACTATTTTGCTGGAATATTGCATCAGTTTGACAAAACACAAGTGACACAGCATGGCAGTCTCAGGCAGGCAAATGAAGCAATATCACTGAACTTCAAATCCAGGGGAATTTAATTGTAATAGAGTAGTGTTGTCTGGTTTGGAAATTTGAGGCCAATAACATCATGATGTCTCTCCTGAAGATAGTACCTCCAGTAGCACATTGTCTTATGCTTCAAGACTGTTACCTTTGATATCTAAGCTTCAGGTTATAGACAAGTCTTCTTTTCTGGATCTAGCTTCATGATGTAGCTCAGCTGCTCATCATGGCCCTTTGATCCCACATTGCCACCCCATCAATCTTACAACAGAGTGACTTTTAAGATTATGATCTAGCCATCTGAGCAGTATATTTTACCTATAAAATATTTTCTCACAGTCAGACAGGCTGCTTTGCTAGCAGGTGGCAGAGGAGGTATCACCCATCACAAGGGTGATAATGTCATTCAGTGCCATTGCTGTTTGAAATCTCAACATGTGCTTGCAGGATGATCCTCCTTAGTATGTGTTTTCTGGTGGGATCACAGACCACAATGGTGTGATTTTCTGGGTCAAATTCTGTGTGTGTGTATGTATGTATATGTGTGCATTGTGGTTTTTTTTCAGACTAAGCGCATTATTCCTATATGAGCATTGTGGGTGTTCTTCTATTTATAGAAAAAAAAATCTGCTGTACTTGGAAAGATATTTTTAGCATAGTGCAGGGGATACTGTAAAGCAAAAATAAACCCTTTTTGTCTAAGACATGAAATCAAAAGTTCTTGAAAGTTTCTTCAGGAGAATAACTGGGGGGGGGGGGGAGGGGGTGTCAAGGGAAAGTATATTTCACAAAAGTAGCTCAACTACTTACTAAAAATTACTTGTATCTCTTTATGTAGCTGTGCTCCAGGATATTTTGGAAATCCACAGAAATATGGAGGATACTGTCAGAAATGTAATTGTAATAATAATGGACAGCTGGCTAACTGTGACCACCTGACTGGAGGTACGTGAGAGCTTGTGAAAATGGAATTGAGTGCTGTTTTCTCTCTGGGAAGCAAAGAAGGAAGGTACTTATCCGAGTTGTACTGAAGGAAAGATCTAGGCTTGTAAGAATGTAGATCAATTTTAACAAAATTCAAGATTTTCTAAAACATAACATTGCGGCTTGTTCTGAGTCATTGAATTCAGCTTTGTAAGCTATATTATTGTCTATTTCCCTTAATTAATATTACCAATTTTATCTTGTTTTTCTGTTTCATGGATATGTTTTTAAGTGCATTGTGGTTTTTCTGCTGACATGGTTAAGTCATATCTTGCCGGTCTGCATTATGGATTTAGGAAACTGAGCAGTCTCAACATGCCTTTTTAAAATGTATTTGAGACAGATTAGTGACATCTTCAGAGTCTGCATCAGTCTCTGCCTTCTTAGATATCCAAGTTAACTGTGTTTACAGTGGAAGTTAGGACCTGACTTAGGAGGGTGTTTTATAAATTCTGCTATACACCGTGCTACAGTCTAAGACATCCATGTTTTTCCCAGAATCAGTCACACATGTACTCCCCTACTAGTAAGCTCTTATAAGATTATTATGCCACTGGCATATGTTTGCTTTATCTGTTACAATTCTAAAGGGGCTGATCCTACATTCTTCAGACTGTCTTCACCTCAATTCATCTCAGTTCCTTGGGATACACATTTCTATTCGGAAGCACATAAGTCACTGCTCCTGAAAAGGACCTTATTATCCCATATTTCCATTCCCCAATAAAATTACAATTTTCTTTCCCTGTAGACAGCTTTTCCTCCTCAGATGTCAGTGAAATGTCAAACTAATAACTCCTACTATTTCCATGCTCTTAATTTCTCTGCACTGCTGTTCATACTGTATTCAAGTAACTGCAAGGATTACCTTACCTTTCCTTGGTCACAGAAATTAGAAAACCAGCAAGTATATGTGAACTGCTGTTGGTAGCTGGTGCAATTTTTCAATAGCTAGTTCTCATTTCATATTTCATCATTGACGTAATGCATCTTTATTGTATTTATAGCTGTGTGGAACAGATCCAAGCAGTGTTTGATCTTTTCTCATTCCTTTCTTCTTGAAGCATGAGTTAGCCACGACTAACTAATCTGCAGGGCAAAATTCAACAAGTCTGTTTTCAGTTTGTCTCCAATACATTCTGATTAGCCCTCTCTTTCTCTGCATGAGGAATAAAACCCTCTGTGATCATCAGCACTGCATGTTCTAGCAGGTTTCTTGTGCATGATGTTCGGCACTTGGCCAGTCTTTCTCATTTCACTGTTTCTTGGCTGATGTGGTTTGTGCAGAAGCTGTAGTAATAGTTTTCTTTAATTGGTACTTCACTGTGACAGCTGAAATGTGTCTGGTGTTAGCTGAATTGCACAACAGCCAAACTGGACAGGTATTTGGATTTCAGAACAATTTCCTTCATTCTCTTACAAATACATTCTTTGTGACTTGTCTCCTTTTGGCGGCAGCGCTCACTTCCAATCCCATTTAGCTTCCTGATGACTTAATGTGCAAGTGCCGAAGGAAATGGCACAGCTATGCAGCTGGTTCCATGCTGTTTCTTGCTGCTGCTAAAGTTCTGGTCTGATTTTATCACTGTAAGCTCTCACAGTCTCAAGCTGTTGTTGACTCTTGACAGCAGCAGCCTATACCCTGAGTGCATCCTTTTCTGTCAAAGATATGCACATTTCATTTTCAAAAGGAGATGAGAGTTTGGCAGTAGGACTAAGCCTGTAAAAGGGACTTGGGCATCAAGTTGGGGAAGATTCCTGTCCTATATGATGGCATTTTTAGGAGCCACTTTCCATCCTGACTCCAAGAAACTGGGATCCCAGGATATCACAATCCCACATGCACCTAGAGAGTCTTAAGTTTCTTATAACGAAGCTTGTAAAGCAAATAAACTAACTGAATCAGCACACTGGACAGGCAGCCACTTGTGCTAGCTTCTTGGAAAGTCTGATGGCAATGTTTGTTACATACCACTTGTATCTCTGGTCCAAGCTCCATGCCTTGGGTTACATACAGGGCCTCCTTCCACGCATAACTGTGTATTTCTCTCAAGCTTGATTAATCCCTTAATCTCACAAACTGTGACAGGTAGTCCATAAATATTTCTCAGTTCCCTGTGGGTAAGGCATCCTTTGAGGAATCAGAATATGTGGTGTGAACATGGATGTTAAAGCGAAGGGATTTATTTGAACCTATGTCCTGGGTAAAATGCCTTAATGATTGTAATATAGTCTTGGCTCCAGTCCTGGTGGTGTTATTCTAGGCAAATTCTAGCAGTACATTCCTCCCACTTGATGTGAGAGAGCCTCTTGCTGCTACCTAAGTAGTGTATATTGGTTGGGGTTACAGTCAGTTTTCTTTGAGGGATGAAAAAGGTGTTGATCTCAGCAAGGCATAGGTGGGAGCTGAATGTTTCATCATGCTCACGCCTTCTGGAAATTTCAGCTTGTTCACAGTGGGTGTGGATTTATGAAAGGGCAGCACTGTGTTTTGCATGGCTGCCAACCATGAAAAGTGAGGGCAAAGATGCAATAGTAATATTTCTATAAGAAAACTTTGATTACTAATGAGACTCTTGTGATTTCAGAATGTTTCAATAATGAACCAAAAGATGTGGATCCCAATGAAGATTGTGACCGTAAGTAATAAAGTAGAACTGGACTTGGATTGCCTTCTGCTGGCTTTGGGTACATATCAATGACTCCTTAAGGGGGACACAGTTTAAAAAGGACTGGAGGTGTCCTTAATGAATCTTTTGAAAACAAATATTCAATGAAACACTTGAAATAAAATATAAAAGAGGTGGTCAATTAGCCAGATGTAAATGGGGCCTCCTACTTATTTCTGCCTCTGATCACTCTCCTTAATACTCTGGGCTTTGTTGCATTTGCTGTTCAGGCAGTACTAGATGACAAGCATCAAAGTGTTTCCATTGCATCTCATTTATTAATATAAGTAGTGAAATATTCTCTGCACCAAATACTAATAACAAGTATTGCTTTCATTTGCTCCAGCTTGCGATACCTGTGTAATGACACTGCTGAAGGATTTGAGCACAATAGGTGATGAGCTTCAGCTGATTAAGTCTCAGCTGCAAAATGTCCATGCAAGTAGCCACACACTGGAGCAGATGAGACGTTTGGAAACACGCATCAAGGACTTAAAGGTAGGTACACATGTACAGAAAAGCAGATTTCAGATTAAGCTGATAAGAGCCGAACCTAGAAACTTCGTCTTTTTGTCACCTTGCAAGGAAACATACGTTAACACTTGATTCCAAATACCAGATGCTGACAGCACTGGGCTTCACCTGTTAGAGGACAGTTGTTGTTTCCATGTCATTCCCTGAAAGATAATCAGTATCTCTGCTTTTTCTGAGGCCTGCTCACCTTGAAAGCTGTATCTCCAAGATTTCCCTATGGCTCTGTCCTTTTCCAGCACTTATACCTCTGCATTACCAAAAATCCTTAACATTCCAATTGCCAATACCAAAATTCATCCTAAAAAGAATTTCTTTGGTTGGAATAGCAGTTGCTATACTCACAGATAAGAAAGCCCGGGGTTTGGGCAGCAACTGGTCAGCCTTCATGTCAGTAATGCTGCTTTTATTTACCTTGGATAAAGATCTAACCCAGTGACTTTTTGCTTTTGTGTCTCCTGTGTATGAGTAATTCAATGGATTTTTTTTTTTTCTTTCTTTTCAGGGCTTATTGAACAACTACCGTTCTGTTGTACACAATCAGGGTTCAAAGGTAGATGAATTGGAGACAGAATTCTTTAACCTAAATCATGATGTAAATGCTCTGCAGGAAAAGGTGACTTACCAAATCAATTTAAAAATACACATTTCTTTACTACATATTAGCATGCTGTATCCAGATATTTTTAATCTACTAATGTTTTGCCCTTGCTAGGCTGAAGCGAACTACAAAGCAGCTGAGATATTATTTAATAATTTTGGCCAAACTCATCAGAAAGGAAAGGATTTGGTTTCACAAATACAAATAGTTGTCAATAATATACAAGGTAAAACCAATTTTTAATTCCATAACATATTTTTTTTAATGAAATCTTTTCAAGTTTACTTACAATATTCTTAATTAAGCATAGATGTTTTCTTTGAAAACAGCTTCATAAAGCAGAACTGAAACATGGCTGTGAAATTTGCTCTTCCTCTTAGAAATATATAATGTTAGTTTAGGAGCCTACCTTCTCTGTGTAGTGAATAGGGACAGAGACGATTTAGCATAGACACATTTAGAGCTATAAATGACTATCCTGACTTTAGTCTGACTTTAATCAGGACACTCACAATCTCTGACTTTAGCCAGGACTCTCACAGGCTCTTTAAAGTTAGGACCTTAAAATTGTTGCTGTGAAGTTGGTGAGTTAGGACAAATTTCAATCCCAATGCCATTTTACTAGCTCCCATTGTGTAACATGGCATACTTTTCAGTAGTAACTAATACAGTTAATGCAAAATGGATCTGCTTCATTAAGGAATTATAGAATACGCATGTCTTTTTCACAGAAGTTTGTCATTTTTGTATTTTGCATAGTCTTAAGTGCATTCCCTCTTTGACAATATTTTTTTTCAGTGCTCTTGGAACAAGTAGCTGGTACAAATGCAGAAGGTAACAACCTACCCTTGGGAGATGCTGCCAAAGAACTGGCCGAAGCTCAACGCATGATAATGGAGATGCGAAACCGCAACTTTGGCCAACTTCAAGCAGAGGCAGAGAAGGAGCGAACAGCAGCTCAGCTGTGTAAGGGCTTGTTCTCTTAACTTCTTACTCTCTAGAAAGATCTATCTGAAATCTGAAGCATTACTGATTGTTTGGGAGGTAATGCAGGGAAGTGCATTTTGCAGTGTATCCCTGGGATCAGTAGCAATCGTCAGTCAACAGGAAAGTGGTGATACTGGAGGCATTTTTAGTTTGTTATGGAAGAAACTGAGTTGAGCTGGGGAAGAGACCCAGTAGATCCTTCCTTCATAACTAGGTTTATCTCAGTAAAATTAAGACATAGCTTATCATAATATACTTATGGAGTGCTTCTGTGTATTATAATATATAGACTACGGTACCTGCAGCTATTTTAGAGGAACTACAGGTGTAATTTAACAACAGATTTTCAAAATCTGCTCGAGTGGTCCAAGGGCCAGATCATACAAAGATAAGGAAGCTCAGAAGTTCTGGCTGCACTTGTTGTACGCCCTTATAAGTTCTCTGCATGTATTTAACTGGGACATTCAGAAACCCAGATTCCAGACATTAGAGACAGCAAGTACATCAAAGTCACAGGCTTTTCTCATAAGCAGGGGCATAGTTGAGGAATGTGAAAGACCTTACAAGTGGTAGTCATTTCCCCTAACTTTGGAGTTTGATACCTACCTCAGAGAAACTCTTCTGTACCCTGTCTTGTCGGCAGTGAAATAGGCACTCTTAAGAGTGTGATTCATTTGACCTCTTTTATGTTTCTAACTTCTTTGAGATTGAACATACCCTTATCTCTCCAGTGGTTACAAAGGAAGCTTTGGTGACTGGCATGGATGTAGCTATCCACATTGTAGATGAAATTGTTGATGAAATTGTTAGTTGCATATAAATAAATTTTAAAAAAAAAGTCAGTTTTTTCAGATTTTCATCCTTAATTTAGAAATTGCCAAATAAATGCAATTATTTCTGCTCTGTGTCTGCAACAGCAAACTAGCGAACATGTTTGACCCAGTGAGATGCTGAATAGCATCTCTGCTACAGTAACACTGAAATTAGCACTGCGAAGAGTGCTTAGTATTTCACACAACCACAGCTTTCTAATCCTAAATCTCAAGCCTTTTTGGAGGAAGTTTGTTTTGGTTCACTCTCTGAACAAAACTTTTCTTTCTGGTCCTGATACTGCAGTACTGGCACGTATTAAGAATGAACTACAAAAGTACCACCAAGAAAATCATGGGCTTATTAAAATTGTGAGGGAATCATTGAATGAATATGAATCAAAAATCACTGACCTTCGTGAAGCTCTGAATGAGGCAACGGGACAAATCAAGCAGGCTGAAAACTTAAACAGAGATAATGGAGTTCTGCTGGAAGACATTAAGGTAATGTCAGGGATTGGGAGAAGAAAGTTAAACCTCAGGAGATAAGAAGTGCTTTTAACCTTACAAAGCCAAGTAGCACTAGTTCTTTAGACTTCCTTCAAGGTCTTTTTCCATCTTTTGGTGTATGTATCGACAGCTATAAATATAGTCTTCTTCCACTTGTGGTCTCTTTATGTGACTGGGACAGTGTAACCAAGACTACCTGTGATGCCTGGGAGAGTCTCTGCCTAGCTCTTCTCTTCAGCTGCCACTAGCCTTTTTTTTTTTTCTATTCTGGATCAAATTACTGATGTATTTTTTTTATAGGAAGTCGCTTAAAGTATTTGGCCTTACCAGTCATGAAAGATGGGACCAATAATGTGTTCAATACTGTTAAATTATTTGGGATTAGTATTCTACAGAACTTTTTCTGAGGTCTCACCAGAAATGTGACAAGAAACAGCTGCACTCCTGAGAGTGCTTGATTTTTAGAGCTGGTGAAGTAGTACAAGAAAAAAGGATAGGCTGCAGGACTCATTCTCTTAAACTAAATGTGGTTTTGCTAGAATATGTCACTGGTTTAGCACACGCGTGACCATCCAGTTTGCTAACACTGCTTGAACAAAAGAATTTCAACAGTCCCTTTTGACATTTAATTGTACCTCCATGTGCATTGACTGTACAATACAATTGGCAAATAAGTATGCACAGTTGTGTTCAATGATGGATGCATCTATACAAGTGCATCTGTTACTGATACACTTACCTGGCAGAGATTGAACACGTTGCAATGAAAGAAACCCAGCCAAGGAAAGGTAACACATCCTTACCTGCAACACCACTTGTCTGTCTGGGTTTGTGGTATGCCATTGCATAGAGCTACACCGTGGATTGTCACAGGGCTGCTCAAGAACAAAGATCTTCATTCCTTCATCCAGCTTTCAAGAGGATAAGGTGGGAAGGTTTCTCACCCCTTTCTGGTAAGATCCCCAGATGAAGGGTTACTGCAATCATTTTATTTCTGACTTAGAGAATGGAAAAGATTAGGATAGTCACCAGGGAGCTGGTTTTGAAGTTTCCAGGTTTAAGAGGTCAGACACTTAGATGGCCTGTCCTGACAGTTCATCTCAGCTGACCCTTAGTACTTTTATTTTGATTGCTCATAACTGAACTATTGTAGCCTGGTGCCCAGTGCTATTCTATGCTCCTGCAGACTCCTGAGTTTTCTCACACTTCTAATCAGTAGGATATCATTAGTCTTTAAACAGTATAGGCACCTGATTAACAGAGCGGTAGTACCTTTGGTAAATCCTACTGCAAACTAGATTAGGTAGATATGGTTTTCCCTGTGTCTCATTTTTAACCCAGTCACATTTTTCCTCAGAAACGGATTGAGGAGACGAAAGTACAACAGAATGGTATCTTGGATATTCTAAGCTCTGCCCGATCTTCCCTGACACAAGCTAACAGTGTACTTGGATTACTGCAAAAGAGCAAAGAGGTATAATTAACCTTCTTATGGTTAGACAGCCCCCCAGTGTCTTGCTGTCACTATAATGGGTAGCATAGTTCAGCAGCTAGAGAAGCTAGTGTAAGAGAAGCTTGTTGATGTGTCTGAGCTGCAGATATTGGAATGTGGGAGAATATCTGTGAGAAATACCATTACGCAATTGTGTTATTCTTGTATTTCTTTCTGGGCAATAGCTTTCAGCCACTGTCAAACACAGGGTACTGGGCTAGAAGGGTCTGACTCAATTTTTTCCTAATGGGCCTGGAAGCATAATGTAATGACTAGCAGTTGTTTCCAGTAATCTGCAGAATAATTTATAAGGAAATGTTTTTCCCCTTGGTCTTGTCAGGTGCAAGGTATGTGCAACACTGAAGGAGACAAAAGACAAAATCAAATGTGTATAAATAAAAATAAAATTTTGTCTATATAAACCCGTAGGAATATGAAAGCCTGGCTGCTCAGCTGGATGGAGCAAGGAAGGATATGAATGAAAAGCTGACGAATAGCTCCTTATCAGCAAGCAAAGAACCTTTGGTCGTGAGGGCTGAGGAACATGCCAAATCTTTGCAAGACTTGGCAAAACAACTGGAAGAGTATGTTGCCATTTCTTTAAATGAGCAATTTTTGTACATAACATCCGTGGTTGCAGTGCTCTGTCTGTAACTTTACTTGCTTTAATGACTATTTGCAAAGTTAGAAATTTGGTTTCTTTTTCTGCTTCTTCATGAGGTACAGATGATTTCTTTCCTTTTTTCTCCACAAATCAGGTCTTTCTGTATTTTTCATGACGTTTTCCTTTTCCCTGAAGTGGGGGGTTCCCATTACACAGTTTTGTATTACTGCACTAACACTTCATTAACTTCTTACTAAAGAGAAATACTATACTCATGTATAGAGTGGGAAGATGTTTAGAATATCTTTTTTGTAGTGTTATTTCCTGTACCTGTACTCAGGGATACTTTTATTATATCAATGAATTGGGGCAAATATTTGGAAGAAATGCTATCTTGTCAGTCTTCAGACATGCCTGTTCAGCTTTAATGAGGAAAAGATTTCTTATGGTTTTCTCATCCTTCAAGGAATCTTCTAGGAAGGCAAAAAAGTTATTAACTTAATGTGAATCAAGTATTTCCCTCTCCATTACTTGCCATTATTTGTACTTTACCTTGGAATTAGGACTGAGGTTTTGGAGATCTTTTATGGTCAGCAGAACAAAATGGAAAAAGTGGTATCCCGATTTATATTATTTTCCTGTGCAAGTTGTTTGCATTTTGTCATTAATCCAAGTAGAAACTCTCAAAAAGTAAAACTCAAAGATACCTAACTCAGCTGGAAAATTCTTGCTTTAAAAAAATTAGTTTCCAGTGTGATTTTTTTCACTTAAGAAGACGCTATTCTCACAAATACAAGGCAACTAATACAGCGCAATAGCGTAGCTCATGGGGAGTGGGTAGAAGAGATTTTGTCTGCTGTTTCTAATTCCTGAGCCGTCATATTGGTTCTTGGGGAAAACACAAGAGGTCTTGCAGTTGCTCCATCTTGTGCTCCATCTGCCACTCCTGTAGGATGCTGGAACTGCCAGAGATGATCTGGAAGCTGCAGTTCTCTAAACTGAATTGTATTTGGATGGCTGTGATCAAGGGGGTTTATTGACCTTGTGCCTTGGTGAATTCCCCCTATCATTTAAAGGCTGCTTTGGAGGCCCACAGTAGTGCTTTTCCAAATGGATGAGCTTATACTCTTTTTCTTATTCTGAAGAATGTTGAAGAATTGTATTGGTCTGCCACCAGGACTGATATTTTTTCAGAATGAAATTACAGATCTAACTGATTTGTATGCAGTGCTTCTGTATATTATTTTCTGTATTGGCATTACTTTGAAAATACCGAGTTCAGATCTATTTGGAATACTTTTTTAAGCCCAGAGTCTTTGCAGAAGACTGAATTTTTCAATCTGTTTCCCATAGAATAAAGAACAGTGCCAGGAAAGACGAGTTGGTAGGCTGCGCTGTGGAAGCTTCTACTGCCTATGACAATATTATTAATGCCATCAAAGCGGCAGAGGAAACAGCCAAAAAAGCTGGGAATGCAGCTGACTCAGCTTTATCAGTAAGTATCCATAAGTGGCCAAATGCTGGTGAACCTGTTACAACTAGATATTGCTCTTTTTCTCTTGATTCAGCACTAAAGATGCTAAAGCATTAGTTAATGCCTTTCTGACGAGGCTGTCCATATAAATACTAATTGTTCCTTTCAGTGCAAAATAGAGATCTGCATAAGGCAAGCCCTGTAATCACTGAAGGTGATTTCAGGTATTCACTTTTACCTTGCACTAGTAATACTCACAAGCTCTTCAGCCATGGGTATAGCACTTCTTAACAGCCGTGTGCTATTAATTTCTTCCTAATACTCCAAAATCAGAAGTTTGCTAAAGACCAAAGTTGTATTATGCTTAAATTAATCCTAACAATTGTCATTAAAGGTGGTGCTCTTCATGTGAAAACTCTACCCTTGCGTAGTTGCTTTTTTAAGATGGATTGGGCTATCTCTTTTACTCTTTAAATGTTAGTATATTTAGTTAAGCAATCTTACAGTACCATGCTTCTCTTTATCATTAGACTGTGAAGAGAGAAGACCTATCAGGAAAAGCTGCAAGGTTAAAAACTGAGAGCACTACACTCTTGAATCAAGCACAGGAGACTGAAAAGACATTGAAAGGTACCAAGAAAGAAGGTGACAGTAACAATATTGGCACAACATGAGAAGCTGTCACTGAACGAAAAATTTTCACAGTTCAGAAAAGCTCTGCAGCACATATTGACCCAGAAGAGGCTGGTTATAATGAGACATCTTGTTGTGGTTATTTCCAATGGTAAAGAGGCAAGAAAGTAGATTTCCTACATCTGCTTATGCTACACACCTTTGCAGTACTCCTGTCCAGCAAATCTCTTGCCTTATGTTTGTTTAGCAGTGCATTCAATACTCCATGGCAACACGAGCTATGGAAGAGTGAAGGCTGGTGCTGTGGCACCACCTATCCAACAGAAAGGTGGTATTTTGGTTTAAAATTCATGCAGGACATTCACTGTTTTTCAGCCATTGGTCCAACCCTTGAAGATATAAAGCAAAGACTTGATGTCACTGATGGAAAGAAGAGTACACTGCAAGTTGATCTTGTTACTCTTCAAAATAATCTCAATGGGATAAATAGAGGTTAGTTATTTACTGATCACTTCTGTTTGCCTCTTTCATCTATTACTATAAGAATCTGCATATGCATTTGTGTGTGCGTTTCAGATGACATCGACAGCATCATCACCGGTGCAAAGAACATGGTAAAAAGTGCTGAGGATGTCACAACCAATGTATTGGATGAACTGCTCCCAATTCAAGAAGATGTGGAAAAAATGAAGAGTACCTATGGAAGCACACAGAGCGCTGGCTTCAGTAAAGCATTGATGGAGGCAAACAATTCAGGTACTGCAGGTGCTACCTGAGACCTGCCAAGTCACTGTTAGGTGAAG